GGCTCTAACCCGGATCCTGTTGGCTGATTTGTTGTTCGGTTTCTTCTTTGGTTTTTCCTTAAACCCTTAACCCCAACACCCTAAGCCCCAAAACCCAAAACCCCAAAACCCTGAACCCCAAAACCCTAAACCCCAAAACCCTAAACCCCAAAACCCTAAACTCCAAAACCCTAAACCCTAAACCCCAAAACCCTTCGGGTTTAGGGTTCTGATTCATATATAAGGCCTCCTGTAAGAGTCGCCACAAACCCACTTCCTAAGCTTTAATAAAGGAACTATAAGGCCCCTGTAGTAAGGTCCTAGGGTCCAAAGGACCCAATATCTAGGTAACGGTTTAGGGTTTAGGGTTTACTCGGTTTTAGGATAGGAGTTTTGTAGGTTAGGATTTTGGAGATTTTATGATTTTTGGGGTACTTGGACCCTTGGGGGTAAGGTCCTAGGGTTTATCGCCACGGAAAGTTTGGCCACCCGGCTCTCTCACCCCTGAGAGTTGCCCTACCTGAAACTTAGGCCTTCAGCTCGGATTCCGACCTTGCCTTTTGAATGAATAGACTCGAAGGGCTCAGGGTTTAGGGTTTAGGGACATAATTTACCCGTATCATATGGTACACACTCTGGGCCTAAAGTATGTGCCTATAGGGATAACGTTGGGGCCAAGTGTATATACTATACATGGATACATGGACCCTCAGGGACATTGCGAGTCAGACTTCCTTCAGAACTTAGAGAGTGCAGTAATGTGGGAACCTGATTAAGAAACCCTGGCCCTATAACCCCAAAGTAATAGGATTCATATAAGGAACCCTAACTTAATCAGGTTCCTGCATTAGTGCTGAATCTGCCTTTAAACCTGGATTCCTGTAGCCCGCAGGGCTCCTAAATTAGGGTTTAGGGTTTAGGGGTTAGGGGTTTAGGGGTTAGTGGTTTAGAGGTTAGTGGTTTAGGGGTTTATGGGTTTAGGGGTTTAGGGCCTTAAAGGGTCCCCTGGCCTTGAACCGGAAAGCAGCCCCAGACACCCTTCGGTCTCATCCTTGCGGCCCCCCAAGAACCCTACACGAACGAAGCAACCCCAAAAACCTTTAATCAAAAACCTCTCCGGAATCATAATCGCAAGGATCCACTGAACCTAGTAGTTCGAAGTACTTTGGATATATGATGGTAGTAATTGCAGGCGGGTGCGTATCATTTGGGTATATGATGGTGACGTACGTGGTCCCCTTAGCTCACCAGAAGCCCTATGCGACTTAAGCTGCTGCCCTAACGAGTCCAGCCGAAATCTCGTGTAGCGTTCCCCATGCGCTTATTCCCGTAAGGGTCCATGTACCCTAAATAGTATATACTTTGAATTTGGCCTTAAAGTAGTCCCTATATCGGAAATTTCGGGGCCAAAGTATATACTATTTGGGTACATATACGTTTGAACCCTAGACCCTTATAGTAACCCTAAAGGAACCCTTGAAGGATCCCTGTTTGGGTATATGGACCCTTAGGGGTTCAGAGCAGGCCGACTTGCCAAGGGCGTTGCTGACGTCCTCGAAGCGCCTTGATCTGGGAGCCCGGAGACTCCAATATCCCTTTACTAAGGAATATTCCTTAAATCATATCAGGGATCCTACTATATTTTTATAAGGTATATTCCTAAGTTAAGGGATATTGGAGTCTCTGGGAGTGCTGAAATACATTTGCAAAGGTTGTTAGGTACTTAAAGACGGGTACTACAGGGTCCATAGTAGGGGCCTTCAAAGGGCACTACCGGGTTCTAGAATAGGGTGCCTTCAAAGGTGAAAATGGGGCAATGACTGCCATGGGAGATGCTTACTTTCACACATGATACTAAGGATTCCTAATGTAGAAGCCCTGCATTGTGCTACATGGGTACTTCGGGCCCTTCGTGATTGAGGGTTTGTTTTGGCACCCAAGGATGATACAACAAAAGCTCGAGAAGAATCTCGATGATCCGTTTTCGGCTTGTTTTGAAGGCGTTATATCCTCTCCTTGCATAGTAGCCAGTACTGAGTTTGCAGTACTGTGTGGCTTCCCTAAACTCTAAACCTTGATTCCTTAACCCGAAACCCTAAACCATAGATCCTAAACACTATGTAAACCTTGTAAGCCCGAAACCCCCGAAGCAGAAAAAGAGGCTCAACAACAAAAAACAAAACCCAAAAGCAACGCTTGAACAAAGGATCGCTAGGCACAGTCCTGCATGTGATATCGACTTTGAAGTTTCAGGCTTTAGGGCTTGGAATTTCCCAGTGCATCGTCCTGGAAGAAAGCAGGAATACCTAGGGTTCCTTTAATAAGGGATCTAGAAGCGATCTCTAGGGTTTAGGGTTTAAGGGACTCCATTATCCCTTAACTAAGGAATATTCCTTAAATCATATTAGGGGACCACTTTAAATTCAAGGTATATTCCTGAGTTAAAGGATTTTGGAGTCTCTTGTGGGTCCGGGCTTAGGGTCGGGGATTTAGGCTTCAGAGTTTAGGGTTTAGGACTTAGGGTTTGGGATTTAGGGCCTAGAGTTTGTGGTTTAGGGTCCGAGATGGATGTTGATTATCCAGACTCCGTGAGAAAGTGTCCCCCAGCTCCTTTCAGGTTCTAGATTCTCCGGCCTCTGGCTCCAAGGCCATCGTAAACCCCACCCCCAAACCTACTCACCACACCCTGAGAGGCTTGTTCGGCAATCCGACTAGAGGAAATCTTGCAGGTGTGTAGTTCTCTAAATCAGGGTCCTTGTTTAGGGTCCTTCGATACGGATGCTATTTAGAGAACTACTCAGGCCACCGTTCAATCACATAGATCCGACATAGCTGAGGCTGTTGGAGAGTTTGATGGGGTTGCTTTTTTTGAACCCCTCTACACTTAAAGCCGTCGACCCTAACCCCCCCCCCTCTCCTAAGGATCCAATAACTAGGCCAGGCCCTCAATCTTGAACCTGAAGACCTTCTCACCAAACGCCCTGGACCCCACATTGAAGGGTTTAGGGTTTAAGGTTTCGGGCTAGATCCATTTGGGTGGTTGTCAAATTACGGCCCCTTTTTGGGTACCCTAAATATTGGGTGCCGTATTATAATAAGGACCCAAAAAGGGACCCTAATTTTGACAATCACCCAATTGGCGACCCAAACCCCGGACCCTACACCCTTCAATGGAGCTCGACTGCAGAACTTGCTTCTTCAGGTGCTCGCCGCAGCATCCACAGAAAGAGAGTCGCTTGGAATTTGTGGAGTACCTGATCTTACAAGGTGCTTTTTGGGGTTGTGGCTTTTCGTGTAGATTTAGTCGAGAATCGTGGGACGTGGCATGGTTCGTGTAGCGTCATGAATAGATTGCTGCATGTAATATAGAAGCCTAAATATTCGCCAACATTATTCCTTCGGGGTCCTATCCATCTTTGTATCATAAAGGCCCCCATAACCATAGGCTGCGTAGTAGTTCATTTTTGGGGATATTTAGAATCCTATAAGGTAATCCCAAAAAGGAACTACTACGGAGCCTATGGGTAGCCGTCCACAACCGTGACAAGAATCCGAGCACTCCAAGCATACAAGTTCGAAGTTGCTTCAGCCCCAGCCCCTGCACTATAACTGGGCTTCGGGGTACTGTTCTGTAATACCTTTTTGGGGGGAACTGTTACTTACAGGGAACCAGGAATGACATACAAGTCCATACCTTTTTTTACCCTGGTTACTTCAAAGCCCAGATTGTCGCCTTTAGCGCCAAACTGTTTAGGGTTTAGGGCCTCCTCCTGCATGACGAATCTCAAGCTACAGGCCTCAAACCTGAAGCCTTGAGCCAGCCCGAACACCCAAACCCATGAGCACAAGAAACCCCACACAACGACGAGCCGCGAAATGCTGGGAGCCTATACCCTTAGGCCCTAAACCCCGAGCCTCTAAACCCTGAAAGCCTCTAAACCCTTAAACCGTAGACATCCTAAAGATTGGGCCTCGGATTGTGGCCGCTACGGGCCCCTGATTTTGCAGGCTTCGCACATTTTCGGGCCCAAGATTACTGGGTTCTCCTGGTGCCAAAAAGGAGGTTTGGGGTTTGAGGGTTCAGGGTTTGTCAATTAGGTTTAAGAGTTTAAGGTCTTGGGTTTGAGGGTTTGTATAGTAGAAGCCAGAAGGTTGGAACAGTCTTACCCTCATGCCCTTGAGGTCAAGTATATGGGATCCTAGCACCAATCATCCTAAGCCCGTGCTCCGACTTCCTGGGCTTCACTGTATGTAGGTTTAGGGGGGAGCCGAGAGAAGTTTCAAGTTTCAAGCCGGCAAAGGTGCCGTATTATTTTGGGGACCTCAAAAGGGACACTAATTAAGAGAGAGAACTGCCCATCTAATGATAAATATCTGAAACAGCGGGGCCTCGGTATGATGTCATCAGCAACCCGAAACAGAGAACACCACAGCTTGAAGACCACACAGCACTGGACTGCTGGCACCCCTATTTCTGTGGCTATGCGTAGCGCCATTTCAGAAGCTTCAGAGACATGTTGTGTACTTAGCCCGGACCCAAAAACCAACAAAGCACGCCTCACTTTAAGTTAATCTCCAAGCCCTCAGAAAAGCATCTTTGCCATCCTAAGAGCACCCCCGCCCCCACTAAAACCGCAAGCCGAAACCCTGAACCCAACGCCCCAACACCGAAACCCAAGTGTCCAACTACCTAAGACCTTTACAGTAGAAGCCCAAAAGTTGGAAACCCCATAGCCTCAATCCTTTATAATGAACAGGGAATCCCAGCTCTATTTGGCCGTAATCCGATTTCCAACTTTAGGGGGTTTAGTGTAAGGCAAAAGCCTGTTACTTAACCATCCTGAGTGCTTTACCTTGGACCTGTCAGAAGCCCATATATCCTACGAAGCCTCTGAGAAGCGCTTAAAGAATCCTGTATAATGCCTATAAACCTACCACAAGAATGGGATTGGGGCTTATAGGGCTGGCAGAGCCCTACAATCTCTAGATTCCTAGCAAGAATCCTAAACCCTAAACCCTAAATGGCTTCGCTGCATACCTTTTCATCTGGCATGGCACTGACGCCTGCTTTCCCGTCGCGCTCCTGGAGTTGCCAGGCACAGGGGGTTTTCAGGGGTGTAATTTCTAAGGGTTAGGGTCGTAGCTTTTCCTACAAAGGTACTATGTTACCATGTAATCCCGGGGGGGAAGCGTAACTACTGTTGAATGTTTTTCGCGGCTTTTGAACAAGCTTGCGGGGGGTTCGGGTGCTTCAGAGTTTACCCATCGGGCTGTATACCAGGTTTTGTGGAGAAAAAACACGCTTCTCGTGCTTGTTTTCCAGAGAGGAGTGCTGATATAAGGGATCCTTAATCCGACTTACCTTCACCCCACCAATGCAGGCCTCGAAGCAATCAGTCTCCAGAGGCTGGCCATGTGGAGTTCTTAACACCCTGCCCAACAGCACCTTTCTAGTACAATGTAGGGCTTCCATACTAGGAAGCCTCATTATGATTTGGGAAAGTATCGCACATTACGGTACCTAGCACCCTTTGGGCCATAGGCTTTAAGGTTTTGGGTTTAAGGTTCAGCGTTTTGGGAAAAGGGGTAGGTTGTAGTTGCATAAGGGTTCTCTGGGTGTTGGATGTAGGGTTCGTGTATTAGGATGGGTGCTTTGTTGTCGTCTGAATACTCAGTAGCCCTATGGACGCCCAAGACCCCGACAACTTGTTGACATTTCAGGTACGGGACTCTTTGTGGAACCCATCTGAACCTCGACAGTCAGTATATATTGTAAGATGATTACCCAGAAGCTTAAAGTGGGCCTGAACAATGGTTATCGATATGACTCCCTAGGTTTCTTGACTATAACTATACTATATAGGAGCCCAAAACTTTATTCTAATTATCACGGCCCCTACATCAGTTGATTAGGATCTATGAGTCTGGGTTCATGTCGCATCCCGTCGCTCTAAAGCCTCTGAGGCCTAACCCACGTTAAGGGATGTGCAACATGGGTGGAGGGGACTAGGCTTTCGGGAGCAGCCTCGGTTTCAGTTTTAGTTGCAATTGAAGTACAAGACAGTAGAAGACCCTGAAAAGGAACCGAGTTTATGGTTCAGGGTTTGGGGCTTTCAACGTACATGTACTGCCGCAGGCACGCTGCTCCCATGCGTTTTCTGACCTGAGGCAGCGCTGCTTGTCGGTTTTGAAGGCTTGTGGCTTAAGGTTTCGCGCGTTTCATCGCATGTAGTTTGACGGTTTAGGATTTAGGGTTTTGGTGTGCGTTGGTCGCATTTAGTTTCAGGAGTAGTTGACTTAGTTGTGTCTCAACAAGTTCCATACGTCGGACTCTGGCACTATGCAAACCTGTAAACCTATTCTTCGGCGAGTTGATGTTTGGGCAAAGCACCTCACGCAAAGGGGAACTAACACTTCAGCTTAAACTCTAAACCCAATCCCTACCTTAACCCCAAGTAACCTACCTTTTTAAGGACGAAAAAAAGAAATCATATTGGGGAACCGTAAAAAGGCAGGTTTCTTAGGTAGAAGTTGCCTTAGGTATCCTGAGTTTTTTTCCTGATATCGTTTTGGAGGGCTGCCCCTGCGAGCATGAAGACGTAGGATTGAAGGCATGTGGGTGGTTGTCAAATTAGGCTCGCTTTTTGGGTCCCTATTATAATAAGGCACCTAATTTGTAGGGGACCCAAAAAACAACCCCAATTTTGACAACTACCCATGGGTTGATCCTGTATCCTGGGTTTCCACAGCTCTCAGCCACCTGCCCTGCTTACCATCAATGCATTTTTGTTAAATTGACGGTGTTGAACTAAGCTGAAGGTAATGATAAAAAAATTGTATTTCTTAGTGTTTTGGGATTCTCTGGGTGGGTGGGTATTGTTCCATGTTCCATATAGCGATCTCTACTAGATACTGCTCGACCAGAGCTGCTGAACCCTAAACCCTGAAACCCTAAACCCTGAAACCCTAAACCCTGAAACCCTATACCCTGAAACCCTAAACCCTGAAACCCTAAACCCTGAAACCCTAAACCCTAAAACCCCAAACCCTGGAACCCTAAACCCTGAAACCCTAAGCCCTAAAACCCCAAACCCTAAAACCCCAAACCCTGAAACCCTAAGCCAACAGCAGTTGACCTGCTGTTGACCTCTCATGTCAGGGCGGAGCCTGCGGACGTGAGTGAAGAACCTGGCACAAGCCAGATTAATTCACGAGGGCTCTTGCAGTCACTCAGAGTTTCAGTTAATTCGTCCAGTGTCAGGGACGTTGCCTCCCAAATGGTGGGAAGCGGGAGTGAGAAACCAGCCTTGGGCAAGTTGATTGCCTCGCGATGCGACGGCAATAAGGGCGCGTGCTCGGAATGCTGCGCCAAGCACGAGATCTTGCGCGACCCCGTCGCCGCGTGCGAGCCGTTCGCCGTTAAGAATATTGGTGTCCTCGAGTGCAAGTTTCTAGTTGTTAGTAGGACCTTAAACTCTAAGCCCTAAACTTAAACCCTGAACCCCTAAACCCAACCACCTGGTTGTGCTGAAAGCCTTTGGTTCGAAGGTCAGAAAAGGATCTGTCTGGGGTTTCTGACTGCGAGGTCATCAGAATCTTGAAAGCCGGGGCTTCCTTAAGCAGAATTATGGTAGCCTTTGTCACTGTTGGGTAACATTTTATATTTTTATGGGTACTTAAACCCAATAAGGAATAAAAAATGTACATTTTTAATCCTATCTCAACAATGAACTAGTAGCCCTAAACCCTAAACCCCAAAACTCTTGTCTGATTTCTTTAGGCCTTTATGGCATTGTACAAAAAGAATACGCATTGAACCCTAAACCCCCAAGGCCCCCAGTCTCATGATGAATGCCCTAAGGGACCAAGTACAGGGTTTGGGGTTTATGGGAGTTTCCGAAATTAGGGGTACCATATTTTGGGGGCCCTTAGAGTGAGGATCCTACTTTTTAGGGTACCTAATAATCATATACTAGAGCTACATGACTACTATCCTACAGCAGAAGCCAAAAAGTTGGAAACCCGATAGCCTCAATCCTTAAGAGTACAGTCTATGGAATCCCAGCACTATTTGTCCTTAACTAGGCTTCCAACTTTCTGGAGTTTGCTGTAAACCCAAGTACCTAACTGCAGGGTCCTTTGGACCCTAAAGGAATGCCCCTACATGCAGGCCGGAACCCAGGCCGCGAAGGCGGTTCCAGACAGCCGCTCTGTGACCTGATGAAAGATGGAGTTCGGGGTTTGGGGTCTTTCTTGAAGGATCATGGAACTTAGTAAGACTTAGTAACTTAGTGACTAAGGTTATATTATTAGGGAAACTATACTTATGACTACTTATAACCCCAATTCAGGTACTTATAACCATACTTACTAAGTCCCATGATCCTCCAAGTAGGACCCAGGGATTACTAGGGTTTCGGTCTAGGGATTGCGCACTACGGTCTAGGGTCGAGGGACTGGACTCAGGACAAGTGCACCGGATCATGGTCAAGCACCCATCCCAATCCGTCAATCGCAAAACCTAACCCGGCAGACCCTAAACCCTAAACCCTAAACCCTAACCCTAAACCCTAATTAAGAGGCTGGCAATTTGGATAGGGCTGGGTTCCGCAAGGATTCCCAGTTCTTTGGGGTACCTGGAATCAGGCTTTCATTCTTGGGTTATTGTAATCCCTAGGAAGCTGCATAAAATGCCACAAGGGTACCAAGTTCAATATAGAATTAGGATTTTTCGAGCATTAACCCCAGTGAGACTTAGAGAGCTTTGGGTGCTCCAGGCAGAGGTTTTACCGTAAGAGGGCTTTAGGGTTTAGGGCTTCGGGTTCAGGGGAAAGGGGCTTATTTAGGGATTAGGGTTAACGGGCTTGGTTTAAAGGCAATTCCGAGAAATTTGGAACATGGGTGGGGGATGATTGCATGGTGCAAGTATCCCTTCTGCTTGACCGAAAGGGCATGAGGATAGCGATGTTCCAACCTTCTGGCTTCCATTTCCCGGGTTCACAGCTGTACCGGTTTTGAGGGTGTAAAGGGTTTCGCGTCTTGGGGTTCGAGGACATCAGGGCTTTGAACTAGCTTAAGGTTGAAGGAATACCCGGCAATGATGTACTTGGGCTTGAGGTCGTATCCTTCATGCCTGCACACAGTCACGCAGTGAAGATGTAGTTTGAAGGGAACAGGATTTGATTAAAATAGCTGAGTCATAGGTAAAGTGCTAAGCGTACACTAGCAGGGACTATCATTGCTTTCGCTATGCCCCTGCCTTTATGACAAAAAGACCCAAACCCGAAACCTAAAGCCCATCAGCCTAGACCGTAAACCTTCAACTCTAAACCCAAACACAAAACCCAAAGCACTGGACCTTAAACCACTAAGCTATACCCTAGGTCCGCCGGGCCTCAACCCTGAACACCTACTTAAAGGATCATGGGACTTAGTAACTACGGTTATTATTAGGGTAACTATACTTATAACTACTTATAACCCCAAGTAAAGTACTTATAACCCTACTTATAACTACCCATGAACCTCCAAGTAGGTGCTCTCTTGGCCTCATCGCAAGCCCGGCGTGCGGCCGCGCCCGCGTGGCGCGACGTGCGGCACGGATTCTTCTCCTAGGAGGCCGAGTGGATATCTGCCTGAGGTTTCATTGGAGGCCAAAGGGTTTAGGGTTTAGGGGTTAGGGGTTAGGGTTTAGGGGTTTAGGGGTTAGGGTTTAGGGGTTTAGGGTTTAGGGTTTAGGGGTTTAGGGTTTAGGGTTTGGGGTTTAGGGGTTAGGGTTTAGGGTTTAGGGTTTAGTAGGGTTTAGGGTTCCCATAATAGGGTTCATATTAAGGAACCCCTACCCCAAAAATCTTAAACCCCCCTATTGACCTCCCATCAAGGTTTCCCCAAGGGTCAACGTACTCATATGGGTGGTCGTCAAAATTAGGGTCCCTTTTTTTGCGTACCCTAAATATTAGGTGCCGTATTATAATAAGGACCCCAAGAAGGGACCCAAAATTTTGACAACTATCCATATTGTACAGACGTTGGCCTTAAAGTAGTCCCTATATAGAGTATCTACAAGTTGGGTACAGTGATTCTTAGGTTTGGGGGTTTAGAGCAGGGCACCTATTCAGGAGTTAAGAGTCAGCGTAGATCTCAGGATTGCATTTATTAACGGATACTTGAGGCAAGTGTCAGTTGGTTTCAGATAGTGTTCGGCCTGCGCGATACAGTCAAACCAGCTTCAGGGCCTAAGCTCCAAAAGGGTCCTAGGTACTGTTATGGGGAGGGAGACTTTCCCACATCATAGTCATGATTCCTAATATAGAAGCTCTACATTGTACGTACTATTTTGGAACATCGGACCCTTTGCGCTTGAAAACCCCGAAGCCCCGAGGCCGAAACATGTCACGCCTTGACCTCTCCACTAGGAACCGCATACAGCAAAGCCTTTCTTAATTTCAGGTAACCGTCCTTTTTAAGGACTTATATAAAGAAATCATATTAGGGAACCCTAAAAAGGCAGGTTCCCTAGGGTCCAGGTTATGCCGAACCGCGAAACAACTTAAAAGCCCCAGGGGCAATTAAGCCCAATACATCCTCAGCACTGTCGGCCCCAAGCTCCATACCGTAAACCCTAAACCCTAAACCACTATGTAAACACTAGCACCCAGAAAAACACTCTGTTAGGTTCCAAACCCTTCAGCCCGAAGTGGGCATCTTTGTACTTTGAGGGTTAACGACCTCGCTCTCAAGCAACATCAGTATCCAAAGGGTCCTCAGTACTAGTATATATTACAGCATAAGATTTCTATAGTAGGGATTACTATGATTGTTTGGGAAAGTATCCCGAAATGATGGTAACTAGGACCCTGTGGGCTACGCTGTATCTAGTAGGGATCCCTGGCGAGCGACGGCCCAGAAGTAGGGCGTGTTGGGTTTAGGGTTTAGGGGCCCTAACGAGCAATATCAAGCCTTTCAGTAGCCCTCAGCCAGAAATCCTACAAGCAACACTTAAACGCGCTGCCCTAAAACTGCAACAGCGAGCCTACGGGGACATCGCCCCCGCTCCCTCCCAGCCTCGCCGTGGGTTTACCCTAAGGTTCCCTTTTTGGGATTCATATTTAGAATTCCATAAGGTAATCCCAAAAAGGAACTGCTTTGGGGCCTATGGGTAGAGTTGCGGTTGGGGTTTAGCGTTCATGGTTTGGAGCTAGGGTTAAGGGCGAAGGGTGTAGGGTTCAGGTGAAGGGTTTAAGTCGCGGGATCGGGCTTTAGGGTCAGGGTTTGACAGTTTGGGCATTCAGCACGGTGCTTTGAGTGTGGGATAGTTTGGGCAGAAGTCAGTCAAGTAGAGGTTGGTCTAGGGTTAAGGGACAAGTGAGATCATCACAGGGTGAATTTGGGGGGGTTGTCGGGCCTGCTGTAGTCCAATTGCGCTACCCTAGACCTTATAAACCCTATAGGTCCAAAGACTATATAACACCCTAACCATAAACCCTATATAACCTCTGAACTCTGATCCTATAAACCCTGCACTTTAAACCCGCCGGGGCACATCAAAAAGCCAAGCAAGCCTGCAGGGGCCGGTCGTATCGGGACCGCTGCGGCCGTTCACCTCCTCAAGCGATCGAGGGAGCCACTTGAGGCCCCGGGGGATCATGGTTTAGGGGTTTGGGGGTTTGCAGGGTTTAGGGTTTATCTAGGGTGTAGGGTTTAGGGCTTGTAGGGTTTATAGGGCTTAGGGCTTCTAGGGTTTGCAGGGTTTAGCTTTTTTCGGGTTTAGGGCTTAATTAGTGCTTGTAGGGTTTATATTATAGGGCTTAGTTATGGTTGAAGGAAAAGTTTAGGGTTTGCAGGGCTCATAGGGTTTAATTATAGAGCCTATAGGGTTTATTGTTCTGAGGTTTAGGGATGTCAGCTGACGTCGTTCCGTTATCCCGTGGCCCGTAATCGTGCCTGGGTTAATACGCGCATTGGCGCAATGTGTGCCACTGCCCAGTTCTACTGGGTTCTTGTCGAGGAGTCTAACTCAAGTCACCAAGCAAAAACCCTATAATTTCTATAGTTGCCGGTTATGGTAAGTTGAAGAAATTTCCTTAGCAAAAGTCTGAACCGGAGGGTTCGAGGTTTAGGGCGTAGAGCATTCGAGTTGAGGGTTGATGACTTAAGGCTCAGATTTAGGGTTTATAAGGCTTAGTATTCAAAGGCTCAGGTTTAGGGTGTATAAGGTTTAGTATTCAAATTTAGGTTGAAGAGAGGTGGTAGGCAGTTGCGGGTTCTGGGGTTTTTTCAAGAGCAGAGCCCATGATATAGAGGCTGGAATCATAAGCCATGACATCCCCTTTACAGTCCCTATATGATCATTGTCAACGAAAGCCCACGAAACCCTCTCGAGTTATCTCGAATTGTCAGGAGTGACACAACCTATTCTGGCAGCGAATGGAATCAACTCTTACAGGCATGGATTGACAGTTGGCTCCGCAAGCGCAGGATCCAGACCAATACTTGGAGGAGGTATTCTACAGTACCCAATCATATATGACTGTTAATCAAGATGGTACGACGGCCCCGCCAATCCCACAGAGATCATTGTGGGCGTGCAAGTCATTGCTGCTAGACACTGATTTGCCGACCGTGATTTGTGTGAATTGCAGGTTGGAGGGTGGAGCACTCTTCAACCCGTTTCTTGTTGCGGATAGAGAAACGCCTCCTCCACGGCCTTGGTATCCATCCTTAGTCTAGACTCTAGATCAATCCCTCTCTGGAACCTCCCGCGGAGGGGGCCGATGACGTTTACGGAGGCCCCCCGAGATGCTGGGCGGGGAAGAGTGGCGAAGGCCGCAGCTACTGCTGCAGGTCGAACCCTACCTACCTACCTTAGTTAGACAAGATGAAGTTAAGCTTCAAGGCTTCGAGAGAGAGATGCTAAATTTCAATATTCAGGTTATAAAAAAAACGGTGCTGTCAGAGTTATTTTTTGAAGCAGTGACTGTTGCAGATGTGAGCGGGATCGGGCTGACAGGAAATCCTGATGAATATCAATGTTCGCATTCCTGTTGCTTGGATGATGCCCCCAGAAACGGTAGTTGTTTGTTCTCGAGAATCTGGAAAATTTGTTAGGGTTGTTGTGCCTGTTGCCCCCACTAAAGAGTGCTCCTCACTTCTCACCATTTTTCCCGGAGATTGAGAGTTTCGTTGTCCAAGCTTGCGCGCAACAGCCCACGCCTTTTCAAAGCCTCCGAGTTTCATCTTTTTCTGAAAAGAACTAGGTTGGTTCTTCATACAAGCATGAATATTTTTTTGCTTCCAAACGGTTTTGTCTGAGGCTCAGTAGATCCTGGGTTGTTCAATGTCTTTGGGGAAATTTCTCTCTCCAGATAGTTGTCCATGAGCCCAGCCTGAAACCAGGTGTTTTTCAGTTCGGAGATGAATAAACACGGGAACTGGAACATTCTTTCTCTCCACATACTTTTCCCGGGACCCAGGCTGACACAAAAAGGTTTGGTTAAGATTGTTTGTCAAGTTTGTGTTTGGGCCCAGGCTGGAAAAAGAGTTTCAATGTCTACCGAAAAACAAGCTTGAAGGTTTTTTCCAAGTAGTCCTTGCTGAGCGTAGGCTGAAACCAATATTTGCCGCTCATTTTTTATTAAAAGCCAACAGGGAGTAACGGAAATGTTTTTCCGCCTGGGCTCTGGGCTCAGGGGAAAGATGTGAAAGCACCAAGCTGCCAAAAAACATTTCTTCAGCCTGGGTTCAAGGGAAACAAATTGAAGACAACTTTTCCGCTCTATTCTATGAAAAAACCAATCTGAAACGTGTTCTCCAGCCTGGGCTCAGGGGAAAAGGGCTCAGGGGAAGACTTTGGGAAACCAAGCTGTCTGCTCCATGGTTTGATAGACAATGGAACTGAAAAACGCTTTTCAATCAGTTTTCTCACGGCACAGGCTTTGGAAAGAAAAAATTGTTTTTGTTTACAAAAACATGGACCGGTAAAAGTTTTTTCATTCAGTTTTCTCAAGGCCCAGGCCCTCGAAAGAAACCAGTTTCGCCGACCAGTTTTTCGTGAAAACATTGTAAGGAAAAATTGTTCAATCAATTTTCTAAGGGCCAAGGCTTTGGGAAGAACGAACAATTTTTTCTTTATGAAACAATGGACAAGGACAAGTTTTTGTTCATTCAGTTTTATCAAAGCCCAGGCTCTGGAAAAGAAATCCGAACGGTTTCTTTATAGAAACGACCGGGTAATTTTTTTGCAATAAGTTCGCTCAAGGCACAGACTTTGGAAAGAAGAACTGCTTTCTCTCTGTTGCAAATGGACCGGCAAGTTGTTTGTTCAATCAAATCTCTCAAGGACCAGGCTTTCGAAAAACAAACTGTGACAGCACCATTTTTTCACAAAAAAATGGTGCTGTCATAGTTTTTTTCACCGCTAGCCCAGATTGCTTTCCTTGTCTTTGCAGCTTCAGGACCCGACGGCGTCCGAAAAAAAAACTGTGACAGCACCATTTTTTATAAAAAAATGGTGCTGTCACAGTTTTTTTTCACGCTAGCCCAGATTGTCTTTCCTTGTTTTTGCAGCTTCAGGACCCGACGGCGTCCGAACAAAAAACTGTGACAGCACCATTTTTTTATAAAGAATCGTGCTGTCACAGTTTTTTTTCTCATGCTAGCCCAGATTGTGTTTTTTTGGTTTTCGCAGCTTCAGAACCCGACCGCGTCCAAAAAAGAATTGTGACAGCACCATTTTTTTATAAAAAATGGTGCTGTCACAGTTATTTTTTCAACGCTACTTTTCTGTCGGAAATCTTAAAAAACCAACGATTTGCATCAAAAAATTGCGGGGTCATTGGGATTGCCACGTAAAAATGGATACCAAAATCATGCTTTTGGAGGATTTTGACTCACAAAACAGCGTTGAAAAAAGAACTGTGACAGCACCATTTTTTATAAAAAGTGGTGCTGTCACAGTTTTTGTTTTTGGACGCGGTCGGGTTCTGAAGCTGCCAAAGCAAAAAACAAACAAAATCTGGGCTAGCATGAACAAAAAAACTATGACAGCACGATTTTTTATGAAAAAATGGTGCTGTCACAGTTTTTTTTTTGTTCGGACGCCGTCGGGTCCTGAAGCTGCAAAGACAAGGAAAGACAATCTGGGCTAGCGGCTAGCGGCTAGCGTGAAAAAAAACTGTGACAGCACGATTTTTTTATAAAAAAATGGTGCTGTCACAGTTTTTTTTTCGGACGCCGTCGGGTCCTGAAGCTGCAAAGACAAGGAAAGCAATCTGGGCTAGTGTGGAAAAAAACTGTGACAGCACCATTTTTTTATAAAAAAATGGTGCTGTCACTGTTTTTTTTTTTAATGAAACCGTCCGGGGCTCTCTGGCCCAGAACGGAATGCTAAAAAAGAAAAAGTTGCTTTGGCAGAGAGCCATTCAGGTAAAGTTGAAGCTCTAGAAATGGAACTTGGGCTTCAGTTTGATAGTTCCCACAAGCGAACTTGTTTCAACAATAACGCATTTTGAGCTCTTGCGGTGCTCATGGCCGTGGATAATGGTTTTCGATAGAACCTCACCTGCAGCCAGGGGCAATCAATATTGTTTCTTCCTCAGTTTTTGATTGTTTAGATTAGTGCTGGAAAGAGCTATTGACATTGACAGCTAACTGCTAACTTTCGCAGCACAGCGCGCATTCTTCGAAGATGCTTTTTCCGCAGCTCAGAAGAAGTACTTGCAGCAAAGAAGAAACTGCCATCTAGTTCAAAGCATCGTGCTATATAATGTTTCATTAATTATTTCAATGGCAATTCCGCTGGTGATATAATGCGTTCGAGAAAACACGTGCTTTTCCGACTGGAGCCACAAGGACTGTTGGAGTCAGCAATACTCGTTTGGATTTGGCGGATTACGACATTTCGAAGCAGGAAAAGATCTGGGCTTCGTGGTTGGAACAGTGCATGCTATGCTTTGCAAGAGCTTTGAGTGCTCTATGCGGAGATCTTGCAGTGGGGCGCACTGTGGCTGACTGCAAGCGCTACATAGCACTATTTGTGGTTTTTTTTCAACCGTTTAGTGCCGTATAAAGCGGATCACATGACATGACTCACAAGGACAAGTGCTTGTCAACGGCATATCCCGAAGACACCCATTGGAGTGGCATCCATCGGTATATGCACTTTTGAGTCGTGCACACCTATTGTAACAATCCAGCAAAGCTCAGCCTTTACAATCCCGAAGGCTCACAACACAAATTCGCAAAACCTAAAATCCAAGTTTGAGTTGTCTTCCGGTAGTCGCACCGAAGCGTTCGGCCCAGATGAGAGCGTCCGCCACTCGCTCGAGATGTCGATTTCGGATTTAGGGTTTGTGGTTTGTGTAAATTGCGATAATATTGGTTTTGGAATCCAAGGTTTGGCCTCACAGAGTTCAGGTGCGGCGAAAATCTAAACACTACCTCCCAACACTTCCAAATCAAAACACAGATATGTGGATGGAGATTGTGCGTGTCTGACAGATTTGCAGGTTTTGTTCGATGAATTCGTGAGACCATGCCCTTGCCGATTGACATCACAACTATACGTTGGCGGCCCAAGCGTATTGTATCATCGGTACTGCCGCCCACCCCAGAACCTTGCTGGACAAGCCTCTCGTGAAGGCCTACACGTTAGATTGGCAAACCAAAGTCACATTTACATGTTGAATCGGTGAATGGCCCTATCAAGGCCTTGCTGCGCCAGGAAACCTTCTCAGAAATAACTGTGGCAGCTCCATTTTTTCACTTCGTTTCAAAACCCCGAATATTGAAATTTGGCACAGAGAGAGTGAGAGAGAGAGAGAGGGAGAGCTTCCGTTTCCGGGCTCTCAGTTTAACTGACGCTAACGTCGTCTGGCTTATGGTTTCTGGCCAATACCAAAACCCCAGTAGCCGCAGACCCAAGATGAAGGAACCTGAAGCCAGTTGCGCAACGCATGTTCGAAAGCAAGGTAACCAAATATGAAATAGAAGGCTATCCTTTATTTTCCTTGATTATTTCAAAGCCCGGAAGAAGACCAAGAAGAGGTTTTCCCTAAACCGTATAAACCTTAAACCCTAAACCCTAAAACCAGAGTCCCATCCCTAGAGTCCCCCGAAACCTCAGACGTAACCCATGATCGGGCACTTAAATCCCTTCTTATGACTACTCATGAACCTTTAAGTAGAGATCACCACCCAAAGGGTCCTACGGTTGATGATGTAAATCCTGCAATACCCATAATAAGTTTAAGGAATATACCCTAATTCCCACAGTTTAGGTTCCTTACAGTAAAGCAGCATGTACATCATCAACCGTAGGTACTGTTCTGGGGGCATACTTCCGAGAAGAAGTACTTTGGACCCTGTGGGCTAACCTTCCTTTTTAAGGAGATACAAAAGGAAGTCATCATTGATATTGTACCATAGTTAAAATAGGGAAGCCTCAAGATAGTATTGGGGGGGATACTTCCAAGAAGAGGTCGTAGAGATAATTAGAGATCACGACTCTACCCATAGGCCCCATAGCAGTTCCTTTTCGGGACTACCTTCCAAGAAGATGTCCTTATAGAATTCTAAATATGAACCCCAACAAGGAACTACTTTGGGGCCTTAGGGTAGAGTCCCCGAAACCTAAGAAGACCAAGAAGAGGTCGTCCCTAAACCGTCTAAACCTTAAAACCTAAACCCTCAACCCTAAGCCCAATCCCTAGAGTCCCCCGAAACCTAAGAAGACCAAGAAGAGGTTGAACCCTAAACCCTAATCCCTAAACCCCAAGCCCTAAACCCCAAACCCTAAACCCAAACCTTCCAAGAAGAGGTCCTTATAGAATTCTAAATATGAACCCCAAAAAGGAACTAATTTGGGGCCTTAGGGTAGAGTCCCCGAAACCTTCCAAGAAGAGGTCGTCCTCGCCGGCCGGAGTGCTGCCAAAGGTGCCGCCGCGGTCGCCGAGGTGGAAGCTGAG